AAGCGCGGCCCACGGGCGATGCCTGGCGCACCCAGGGCCATGACGGCAGGGGCGGCTACGAGTATCCCTACAACCCCAGCACTGACGACTACTCGGTACCTGCCTTCCAGGCCAAGGCCAAGGGCCCCAAGCCACTGCCTGCCCCCAAGCCCCAGGTGGCCTTTATCCCTAAAGGCGGCGAGAGGAGCGGGGACCCCGGCCGGCGGCAGGGGAACCCCGCTCCTGAGAAGGTGGTCGTCAAGCCCAGCCTCAACAGCAGCAACAACAACAACAACGTGGAGGTGCTGTACAGCCGGGTGGTGAAGCCCCAGCACGTGCAGAAGAAGGAGCAGTCTGTGGATGAGTGTAGCTTGTCGCCTGTCTATGAGGACCTAGGAGAGATATAGCGTGCTGCTGCCCTGTACCTGCCTGGGGGGGAGACTGGGGGGGGTCCCAGGCCCATTGGTGAGCAGTGCTGGCTGCTGTCCTCCACGGGTCCTGGGGGTGGCTTGGGGCTGGGGACTGTTCTGGCTCAGGCAGAGACCCTCTTTGCTCAACCAACGCTGGCAGGAGCTGCCTTTCCCTGGAAGCCTTTTCTGCAGCGAGAGCAAGAGCACTGTGGCTGGTGCAGGTGTCAGCGTGCTTCTCTGGCTCTGGAGATGGCCCCACTGCCACCTCCTAATGCTCGGGAGGTCTGGCTGTGTTGGTCTGCACCTCCTGCCCTGGCTCTGCTCTGGCTCTCTTCTCTGACCAGACCGCAGGGCTGGGGTGCCCATTGTGGTGCACGGAAGACTGCTTGCCACCAGTCTCCGAAAGTATTTTTATACAAAAATTATTTTAATATTAAAATCTGTATGTCTCGGAAGGAAATGTTTGCCTGTGGCATGTCTGGGCTGTCAGGCGTACGGAGGGGGCGCAGCGCTGTGGAGCGGGGTGGCCCTGCTGAGCAGTGTTCATGTGGTGGCACATTTGTGTCTGTGCCAGTGCTGCTGAGCCAAGAGGAAACTCTGAAGAAAGGTTCAGCTGTGGCTCGGATGCCCTGATGCCGGGGATTAAAGGGATATGAGAGTCAGGCTTGCACATACCTTTATGTGCTGATCGGAGCACAAAGTGGTGTGATGGCCTGAAAATGTGTGGTTGTGGGTGTCCTCTGAGGGTAAGGCAGGGCAGGGCCAGGCTCCAGCTCTGCTGCAGCTCAAGGACTCTTGGTTAGTCACAAGATCTCTCCTTCCCCAGCCTGATCCCTCTGCTGATTTCCGCCCCCCCCACCCCTCCTGCTCCCAGCTGTTCTTTAAAAGTCTGGAATGGCCCAATCTGATCCCATTGACTTTAATGGCAAAACCTGTGATCCCCGCTGTGTGGTCTGAGGCCAGTGGTTTGGCCGTGATTGCCGTGTGGCCAGCCTTGGGCCAAAACCTATGCCGGGGAAAAACAGGTTTTCCTTTTGGTGCTGGCAATGGTTTTGAGAGATTTTACATCCCTTCTGTGTGGGGCTAGACCAGGCACCCTGGCACGGGCTGTCCCTGAGTCTGGATGGAGCTGCTGGTGACTTCTGCAGGTTTACCAGCCTGTTGATATAGACAGCAGCAAAACAGCCAGCTGACAAGCAGCACTATGATGTACCTGTGCAGAAGACTAAGTGTGACTTCTACAGCTGTTGGGGAAGTCTGGAGGGTCATGTTCAGGTCCCCAGACTGGTGAGATGGTGACAAGGCGGTGAGCTCTGACTGGGCATTGGTGTGATGCCCAAGTTGCAGTGGGGAAGCCTCAGTCCTATAATGATGCAGCGCAGCTGGAGCCAGGACCAATTTGTGGCTGTTCTCCTGTGCTGAGTCCTCTTCCCCACTGGGGTTTTGCTGCAGGAGAAGCGGAAAAGCCTAAGGGGCTTTGAGAATCTGAGGGAGGCTGAGGTGGTTCTTGCCTGGGATGAGAGGCATGAGCAGCAGGCATCTGCTGCTCATGGTTGGTTGCTGGATGGTACCATGCTTGTGTTCCTGTCCAGGGTGGGTCCGTGCGTGCATCCCAAGAGCAGTTCTGCCCACCTGCTCCAGAGAAGAGCTCTTGGCATTGCTTAGCAGGGGGCCCAGGCCACCTGCCCATAATCCTTGCTCATGACTCCAGTGTGAGACTCCAAGACTTAAGCCACAGAGAGCAGCCTTGCAGGAGCAGAGCCCTGGAGCTCTTCCTTCCGTATGGCCATGGGTATTTGTGCATCTCCATCACTGCGGTCACTGTATCTCAGTGCACTGTGTCCACTCTGTCCCGTGTAGCTGAGCATGTCCGACATGCAGTGGCTGACCCAGCTTTCACTAGAGGGTGATGGTGAGGAAGGAAAATGCTCCAGCATCTGTGCCAGACCAGGGGTCCCTGCACAGCTCTGCACTCCTCTTGGCCCCAAGGAAAGGGCATTTTTTTTTTTTATTTTTTTTTTTGCTTCAGCAATGACATCATCTCTCATAACAGCCAGCTTGGGAGCAAGATGTAAGTGCGCAAGACAGGAGGAACGCTCGTACGTGTGGCTTGCTTAATTTATGCACCCAGCCACATGACAGAGAAGTACGTGCAGCAGGGAAGGCTCTTAGTCTCTGCTGATTGGGAGAGACTGTCCATTCTTTTCTGTCTCAGTGTTGTGGACCAGACCTGCCATCTTGCTCAGGCTGCTGCTCTGTGCTTCACCTTATCTCCTTTCTGGCAGCAGTTCAGGGTGTAATAGATGCTTTGCGAGAGCGTAAGAAATAAGGTAAATGCAGAGTAAGCCTTCGGCTGGTCACAGCCTTCCTATTGCCAAAGCAAAAGTCTACAGTAAACCCTGACTTTAGGACCAGGAGATGGTCTTTCTGCATTCTGCGTAGATTAGGATTTCTTCTGTCTGTCTTCATAGAATCGCAGAATGGTTAGAGTTAGAAGGGACCTTAAAGATCAACTAGTTCCAACTCTTCTGCCATGGGCAGCGACACCTTCCATTAGACCAGGTTGCTCAAAGCAACCTGGCCTTGAACACTTCCAGGGATGGGGCATCCACAACTTCTCTGGGCAACCTGTTCCAGTGTCTCACCACCCTCAGAGTAAAGAATTTCTTCCTAATATCTGATCTAAATCTACCCTATCACCGCACTCCATGTTAGAGTCCTTCCCCATCTTTCCTGTAGGCCTCCTTTAAGCACTGGAACGCCGCTATAAAGTCTGCCTAGAGCCTTCTCTTCTCCAGGCTGAACAACCCTAACTCTCTCAGCCTGTCATCATACGGGAGGTGCTCCAGCCCCCTGATTGTCTTTGTGGCCCTCCTTCTTCCCCTTTCCTTTGCATCACTTCCACTGTCTCCTTACAACTAATTTCCACATGTTGAACAGTGAAGCATCTGAAATGCAGCCGGGGCACGTCACTGTGGTTGTGTGCCTTGGCTGAATTCAGTCAGCGTACTTGCAAAATGGCATCCTGGCATCCAGTCCTGAACAAGGCTTCGCTGAGGTGCTTCGGGATGCATGGCTTATCCTTGGCTGTTCGCTCTACCTGTTTTCCTGCAGTGCAGAAATGGTCCTGGACGAGCAGCTTTGCTTCTGCCCAGTCCAGGTGCTACGGGCCAGATTAGGTGGTGCATGGGAAGTCCTTTGGATATCAGACTTCCTCTTGTGAGGACAGCCTGTGTGCCTTCCTGTTCTCTGCTAAAAGTCCATGCCCCAGTTTAGCTGAGAAATGTCAAGTACTGGTCTAGCAGCCACAGCTGGGATGCAACAGAAGCAGAAGCCTTGGTCTCAGTAGGCCAGGTGGCAGTTTTTACAAGGAGAAAATGACTTGGGAGCTGCTCAAAGCCCAACCAACCTCTTCCCCTTGGGGCTACCTTTTTCTGTTTCCTGTTCTGAAAGATATGTCCTTTTATAACTGCTACCTCCTGCCCTTTAGCGGCTAGCGTGGTGCAGGCATGAGACAACTGTTCTGCCAGGATATTTGTTCTCATGCTGGCATTAGGGAAAGCACCCGAAGTTCCCTCTGGCTGTTAAGAGCTGGCCAGAGCAACAGTGTGGTTACTGGTCCTGCTTCACACTGCGGTGATCAGGTGAAGAAGGGCTTTTCAACAGGGACCCTGAACAGCCCCAATTTTGTGATATACTTCCCCTTACAGTTTCTTTTCCCTCTTCCCAAGTTTCCCCTCTAGCAGCTTCCTTCTATCAGCAATAAATCACAAGCCCCTGTTTGTTTACCCCGTCTCATCGGCAAGGGGTTTGGATGACTTTGTACCCCAGTTTGGTATTCATGAAATGGTTGCCAAAGTAATTTCCATCTACATCATCAGTCACGCTAATCCCCTATCGTGTCCCCTACCCAATCTGCCTGATTTTGTCATTTTCATATTGTTGTGTGGTTTGCATGCCCCAGGCTGGGCCCTTTGTATATGCATTACTGCCCTTTGCTACCACTCCTTCCCCTGTTCCTCATGCTTGATTGATAGAGAGGATTAGCCACCAGCTTGCCCACCCTAACAAACCCATATCCCTGTGCCTGCAGGGGTGCCTGTCCTGTCCTCAAGGTACCTGTCCTCGCCATCTTACTCCAAGAAGCTGCCTGAGATGCAGCCTCCTGCCAGGCATGGAGTGCTGCCAGGGCATGGGAAGAGCAGGTCTATGCCCCGGGTGGCTAGCAGGGCCTGTTCCTGAGCTGGGATCCCAGGGAAAAGAGATGGCACTGATGGCTCTGCTCTCCTGCTGTAGCAGTCGTCCCGGGAGCACGGTGTTTGCTTCAGGCCCTCGGTCAACTGCAGCTGTTTCTCAGGAAGTACAGGTCAGTGCTGGGACTGCTGCGTGCAGTATGCATTATAAACTACAGGCAATAAGTGAGCATTATGGTGGGTAACTTTATTTTGAAACGGCTTTTCACGACAAAGTAAGTAGAACACAACCCCCTGCTGGTGCTCGGTGTCCAGGAAGCCCAGTGAGACCACCCCACCTTGGCTCAGTCGAGCTGCCCTCAGTTCTTGCCCTGCCAGGGACTGCTGTCCTGTGTCTGCCCTGAAAACAGGCTAGCATCTGTGCAAGCACTGGGCAGAAGCTCTCTGGAAAGCTCCAAGCCAAGCCCCTGCCGCCTTCTGAACCCTGCCAAAAAGTACTTGCCATGTTGGCTTGCAGAACGGCCCCATAGGCACAGACGGGCCGTAAGGAGGAGAGCATCCAAGCAGCAGTTGGCTGGGAGAAGGGTGCTGTGCTGTAGTTCCAGCTGCGGTGAGCTGTCACGGCAGGAGCCAGCCGGGGCATTAGGGCTGGCCTGGCACTCGCTACAAACCCCTTCGTGAGCTGGGGAGTTGGACACTGAGGCCAATTATGGAAGGAAGCGAATCAGCATCATCGTGGGTAGTGCTGCTTTCTGGGCTTTAAGATTAAATTCAAAAGCCCTGTTTTATGCCTATTCAAACACCCTGC